CTAACCCTCAAACATTCCAACTGATCATTTTCATCAAGTCACTTCGCTTTTGTATCCCTTACCTTGGCTCCTTGTCTTACTTGCCTCCTCTTCTCCTACCCTTCCTCTCACTAAACTCTCTATCTCCCTCCACATCAAGCTTTAACCTCTCCACCTAACCCATCTTCCTTTTTCTCACCTTCACCTCAGTTTTCTTAGTCCTTAAGTAGGTTTTTAGGTCATTAGGATTCTTCAACTTACAACCCAACTTCTCCACAATACTTTCTGTCCTGTCTTCTTCCTTTTTGTCTGCCATCAACCTTTCCCCCCTGTTCATTTCTTCCTTCCTCTCTGTGTTTATTTTCCTCTAACTCCTTTCTCGTCATTTTTCCAAATGTTGTGCAATTAAACCCCAAATTCTTTCTCCCATCTCTTCAACAACTACAGTCTCACCCCCAGTATCCATGACAGTCTTTGTTGCATCCACGGCCTATGGCAAAAGGAGAGGTTGGGAACCTAGAGAGTTGGCATGAGATAGCGAATTCACATTAGTACCCAAAAACAAATTAATTGTCGTACCTGGGGGGGAGGATTTTCCTTTCCTATTGCAAGAAGAGGAGGAACACGGTCTTTAATAGGGTGGACCTGCTGGGAACCAAATTCCGAGAAGGAATTCACCTGCGAAAAACTTCCTGTACTCTGCGTCTTATCCCTGCCTGGCAATCCTTTCTTAAGCCTTTGGGAATCCTTGATAGTCTCATTACCGCTACCCTACTTTGAGGTTCTAATTGGAAATGGGCCATCTAGATTTGTATCAGTGTTTTCTAGCCTCCCACTCACACAAGCTTGGGCCATCTAGATTTGTCAATTCCTTCCATTCCTTGTATAGGAACCCAATACAAAGAGGAACGTGAACCAAACTTAGCAACAACAGGAGCTTGTTTTGCTCTGTTGGAGAAGATGATAGACCCAAACTTTTGTCCCCTATATCTTTCATTTTACCTCCTCCCACGTGACTATTTAGTGAGTCACAGGAGCCATAGACTCACTCTGACCTCTTCAACGGGTCGGATCAAGCCACCTCTTGTGTAATCGAAGCTCCTATCAGTCCACAACCCGAGTCCAACCTAAGTCCAGACCGAACTATTTCAATGAAGGGTTTTTTCTTCATTCCTCCTAGGGCAAATTCGATTTTATTTCAAATATTTACTAATTCTTGTTCGCCTTCCCCTTTCGTCATATCCACTCCTTCCTCCATTCTCCAAATGCCACATGGAAACCACCTTTCCAGCTCATCACCTTCTTCCAGCTCTCAACCTCCCTGCCACATCGACGCTTCGACTGCCATTGCAAACCACAGGCACCACCTCCTGCCTTCCACCAAGAGCTCGCAATACCTAGGGATTAAATATGGCTTCACCCCGGCGATCCTCATTTTCACGGCGAACAAGTTATCAAAACTATAACCTTCAAGCTTGCCTCCTAGAGCTGTAACAATTTTTTCAAACACTTCCTCCTTCCAGAGATTGAACGGTAGGCCCGCTGCAACCTTCTCATCAGCTCTAAGGTCGTCGATTTCAATTTCATTACACGACATATTCTACCGCTCAATCAGTGCCAAGCCTTCCCCTGTTTTAACCATTGTTAGTTCCAGCTTCTCTTCTCCGACATCTAGTAAAGCCATGCTTTCTGTAGTGCAGCCGTTACTTTAATGGGAAGCTCTTTCTTCACTGACTCTAGAACCCCTGGCAGTCGTTCACCTTTTTCTGAAACATAATAGCACATCTATTGGCCCAGACCCCTTTCTCTACCTCCATCGCAAGTTTAGTTGCAAACTGAGAACTCGCAACAACCATAGAGATATTCTCTTTTTCGAAAGGGTCTAGGGTCCAAGTTTCGAAGGTTTGTTCTTGTTATGCTTTCACTGTCTCCACTTTACCGCCAACCTTAACACCCTCTTCGATAAACATCAAGAAATTTTGCAGGGAATTTGTGAACAACTTCCACCCCCTGCTTTTCTTGCCTTCTAGCAAGCATTCATTTGTTTCCTCCCTCCTTGAAACTCTTCTATTACTGTATTGAACCACCCCTTCTAGTTCCATCTAAGGATTGCTTCATATTTCCAGTCCAAGGATGATATCGAACTTCTCCATCCTTGCTTCTTCACTAATCGTATAGCTCCATCAACGAAGCCTTGTTGCCACCGCAAAGCATCTCCAATCAGGAAAACCGTAGCCCTTCTCTCCTCCCTTATCTTCAGAGACCACTGTCCTTTGATTCTTTCTTCTTCCAAGACAATTTTTTTAGCTTTCAATCTGCAACACTCGTCTCCACTTGGTTGCTTTCACGAATCTTCCCTCCGCCATTATCAGACACTTAGCTTGAAAACCTTTATGTGCTTCTCCGTCACTGAAATCCGTCGCCGTCACCGAAGCTGGCCACCCAAAAAAGGGAGGTCATTCAACATACCATCAGAGCTTCAAAGCCGAGTCCAACCGGAGAGACATTTGGTTTGCATATCTGAATATGTTAAGGACGAAGAAATGACTAAGCTCTTAGAGATTCAATCATAGTCACTGTAATTCCCAAAACATTTTTCTCACAAAATCTTCCCCTTCTATAAAAGATAACCTTAACATCTTGCTTTCTTGGACCTTGGTTTCCACTATCTTTTCCATCTTCACAATTTCTTCTATTTTTCTTACTTTATCAACATACTTGCGCCTACACTCCACAACAACAAAATAGAGTTGTAGAATGTAAGAACAGACATTCTTGAGGTATGCCAGGGTATTATGTATAGCTCTCATCTTCCTTCTCACTTTTGGGGTGATGTTGTTCATAATGTCATTTTCCTCATCAATTGGGTTCCTTCTCAGGTCCTCAKGATTAAAACTCCTTTCTCTCTATTCTAGAGATTATATGTTTCCTAGTTTCCTTGGCCCTCATAGGCCCAAGTTTGATCCTAAGCCTATTAAATATGTTTTCCTAGGTTTTGCTTCTAACCAAAAGGGGTATTGTTTTGATCTGATACTGGAAGGAGATATTAGTCCATGGATGTGACATTATTTGAGACTACTACTTCTTCCTTGGCACCTCTATTAAAGGGAAACTACTTCATTCATCATTACTATGGTCGGTCCTTCATCCCCTTGAAATCCAATGTCTTCTACTCCTACCCGTGAGTTGTGGGTTTCCCAACAAAAGTCGAAGACATCATTTATAGCACAACCACGTCAAGACTCCTTTGAAGATGCATGTTCTTCTCTATTGTTGACCCCACTCCTTTCACTATTTTCGATATGTTTTGAAGGGCTACACAATGGGGGGTAGCCCATCCCCCAACCCAGGTGCAGGTGGAATTCGATCCCAAGTCTCCGCCATGACCAGCAGGAGACCTAACCAACCAGCTGGTTGGCACCTTGCCCCATTCCTTTCACTATTACTAATGCCTCTAATGTTCCTGCTAGTCCTCAGCTAGATTCTCTTAGATACAGGTTAACACCCTTTCTAACCTTGATCCTCCTATGCCTTACATAAGGAGAAGTGTTGTATCATTGTTCATCCCATCGTTAATCATGTTTCTTATGATGACTTACCTCCTAAGTATAAATCCTTCCTTGCAAGTTGCACCTGTTGTGTTTGTATCTATTCCAAGGAATTACTAAAAAAGTAGAGCAACTTGAATGGAAAGCTAATATGGAATGAGAATTAGGATATTGTTCAGCTACCATGAAGGAAGATACATGTAGGTTGCAAATAGATGTTTATAGTCAAATACAAGGCAGATGGTAGTATATAAAGGTATAAGACGAGATTAGTGGCTAAAGGCTATACTCAACTTGTGGGATTGACTATGAGCAGGCGGAGCCAAGTATATTGGTGGGTGATCCTTGCCACCCCCCCCCCCAAAAAAAAAAAAACCTTTTGTTAAAACCATTATTCATATGGTTATTAAGTGGAGGTAGGGCCAAAAACGTAATAAAGTAGGTCCTTGGCCCCTCCTAAACTCAAATTAAAATGTAAAGGATCACCCTCTAACACTTCTCCAACTCCCAAAATAAAAAAAAAAAATGTTATTTTTTCTGTAAAAAAAATCTGTAGTAGATCTAAACCATCTCAGGCCATTTTCTCCAAACCCTAACCTCTTCTACTCCCAATCTCATTTTTTTGTTTAACTTGGCCCCCAAAGGAAAATTCCTGCCTCTGCCACTGACTATGAGGAGACATTTTCTCTTGTTGCTAAGATGGCATCCATCAGAATTCTGTTCTTGCAATTCACTATTCTTGGCCTCTTTATCAACTCGATGTCAATAATACCTTCCTCAATGGTAACCTTCATGAGAAAGTATACATGGGCATATCACCCAGTTTCTTCAGTCACTTACCTTGGGGGAGTATTTGTTAGGTTAAGGCATTATATGAGCTTAAACAGTCTCCCCATGCATGGTTTGACAGGTTTAGTGGCACATTGAAAATTGGATATACTACAAGGACTCAAGATCAATAAGTGGTTAAATTTCAGAAACATCGTTGTAGAAGGGGATTCAATGGTAGTGGTGAATGGTTGGCAAAAAGAGCCAAGGATTACGACACTATAGGAATAACAAAAGGGAGATAAGGAAGACAACCAAGGACTTAAATTTTACATTGTATCAGATTACAAAGTAAGCAAATGGCATGACTGATGTATTGGAAAAACAGGGGGTAAATAGAGAGAGATTGTTTTGGACATAATTGTAATGTTTTTTTTTTTAAATGAGTGGGGTGGTTAAAAGATGGTTGTCTCAACTTTGTAAATACTACAGGTGTTTATATTTCTTAATAAAAGTAAACATTATCAATAAAAAAAGACAATGGACTAAAATGCATATCCTTCAGCATGAACCATGCCCCACCCATTTATTTATGACAGGCTTCTACATATACAAGGTACAATCTTCATTAAAGATGATGGAATCAAGTCATCATGTAATTTCGCTTGAAAAAATATGAAAGCAATCTTCAATAATGATCAATACCTTGGCTTTGTTGACCTTTTCAGTAAAAATTTGTTGCAATTTAAGCAACGAACCTGCATGTCCATTACTTAAGCCCTGCATTCCCCCTTCCTTATTGATAATCTCATCATCAAAGTCATCCAATGTTTCAAGCTGCCTGTCCAGTTAAACCTTCAAAGTTAATGTGAACTATGATTCCCTCAATGCAAAACAATGACCACAGATATGAGCTCATCAATAATAAATACCGGTTTGCAAATTTCTCAACATGCCCGTGATTTCTGTCAAATTTTGGTAGAGAACTGAATTTTCCCTGCTTCAGTTTTTCTTCAAGCCTTGCTCTTACTTTCAGCATTTCCATACTTTGTAAGCCAATTTGATCATTCTGCTTTCCACGAGTCAATAATTTATCAAATGCAAGTAAAAAAGGAAAAGAGAAGGAATTGAAATGTTTTATTTTTTGTAATATCCTATGACTAACCTGCTGCTTATGTTTCTCTTGCTTGCTACCATGATCCCTCAGCAAGCCTACCTTTAACAACTCAGTTGTATTATCAGGCTGCAGTTTTGCCAGTAATTTGAAGGATCAGTTCAAAGGGATGCCACTGAAATGTATACATAAGAAATTGACAGTGCTATTGCTCATAGACAGGATTAAGAAGGATGATTACCAATGCTGCTTGATTTGACTTAACAGAAGCAGAAATATGGTGCACTTCCATTTTGGGGGGATCAGATGCTAACGCAACATTTTCTTTGACCATATGTCCTACTGATTCAGTATCATCTTGTTTAAGAAACCCTTCGATTCCAGAAGGAAGATTTCCATCAAGCTCTTTCACCTACCAATGGAATATGTATCATAAATCTCCAAGTTGAAAGGACCATCAAATTCTTTTCAGATGACCATGTTGCATGTAGTGATGTAGAACAAAAGAGGCTCCCAGATGCAAGGGAAGATAAGAAGCCCCTTTCAGTGATTTATTTTTCCTTTTTTGTGGGTAAATTACTTAAACATCTCCTCTAGTTTCTGACAACTGCCTTAACCTCCACATTTCAGATAAACTACACAAGCTGATCCCTTCCGTTAGTTTGGCATTAAGATGTTTAACAGAAATAGATGATGTCATTGTCAAGCTTTTAAACATACAAAATTCCAATTTTTCCAGGGATAAGAATGTTGAAATAATGCAAAAGCACAAAAAATATCAATGAAACAAAAAAAAAAATAAAAACAATTAAAGGAAATTTCTTCGAACAAAACCCTTTCTCTCCACTCTCTAATAGCAATTATTATTAGTGTAACTTTGTTTAAATGGAGATATAAGGGTAACTTCATAATTTAACACTCTCTGTCTTTTTTTTTTTGTATTTAATTTAACACTCTGTCTGTTCAAACTAATGAAAGTAGTCAGTCTGTATAATTTATCTCAAATAGGAGGGCGGCTTTTGGGGAGATCAAAGTTCAGGGATGATTGTACATTTTAGTAGTAGTCAGAAACTACAGGGGACGGAGGCTTTTGGTGGAGTACTCCTCCCAGATGGTTGGAATCTCATGTATCTAATTTTGCTAGTTAATATATGTGGCTCTTACATATCAGAAAAAAATAGAATGGATCAACTTGAAATAAACTCGATAAAAAATAGTATTTTCTAATCTTATGGGATGGCCCTTGGTGTTTGGGGAGAGATTTCAATGCTATCAGATTCTGCAATGAATTTAACAATTCACAATGTCGGGCTACAACTAGCATGAGGAAATTTAATGAATTTATTAACCTTTGTGAATTAAAGGAAATCCCTCTGTTGCAAGCCAATTATACATGGTCTAACTTTAAGTATAACCCTCTGTGTTCAAAATGGGATAGGTTCCTTTTCAATGTAGGGTGGGAGAATCATTGGATGGATTGGGTGGCTAGAGCTCTACCTTGAGTTACCTCAGATCATTGTCCTATATCCTTAGGCCAGGAACTAGTAGGGAATGGGCCACAACCATTTATATTTGAGAATATGTAGACTTTGTGCATAAGGTTGAGGAGTGGTGGAACGAAGAGTTAAGATGGGTGAAGTGGCAAGGAGTAAGATTCCATAAGAAATTGAAAAGGCTGAGATCAAAAATAAAAGAATGGAACAAAGACACCTTTGGGAGGTTAGATGAAAATTAGGCCCATTAGATGTGAATCACCCTAAAGAGAAGTTTTGCCCTCCTTTATTAGTCAAGCCCAAGAAGCCTTTGTACAAGGGAGACAAATAACTAATCAAATCTTGATAGCCAATGAATGTGTGGAGGAAATGAGGAGGTCTAGGCAATCGAGTTTTGCTTGTAAGTTGGACTTAGAAAAAGGCTTATGATTTGGTGGATTGGAATTTCCTAACAAATGTTTTAAGGAATTGTGGGTTTGGAGAAAGATGGGTGCAATTGGGTGAAGGGTTGTATTAGCTCTTGTCATTTTCCAGTGTTGGTCAATGGTGTGGTTAGGGATTTCTTTCTAGGTTGTAGAGGCCTAAGGCAAGGTGACACTCTCTTGCCCTTTTAATTCACCCTTGTAGCTGATGTTTTTAGGTTAAATTGTTAATCACAAAGGCAGATAGGGAGGATGTAATAAAGGGTTGGAGAATAGGTAGGAATAGAATCTTGGTAACCCACCTCTAGGCACCTTAGAGCTAGAGCACACCATCTCAAGGACCTTAGAGCTAGAGCACTCTAAGCATTCTGCAACTGAATCAATATCCCTAACATCCATGTTGATATCCACCACACAACTCTTGTCCAAATTTATCTTCAAATTGGACACATTCTTAAAGTGTTTTATCAAGCCTTTTAGATTCCTCACCTTACTCAGATCTTCCCCCTTCACAGAAGATTATAATGTCATCTTATTCCTCTCCATCCAAATAGTCCAAAATACAGCAGCAGGAATCATGTCTCAAACAAGCTTACCATTGCTAGATTAACCCTCTGTTAGACAGTTTTGTATGCCCTTAGCTTCAATCAGAATGATGTACTTAATGAGTTTATTGTAAATGAATAAAGATACATATTTGATTCATGTTCCCTTGGTATGTTTCTGTGTAATACCCTTAAACTGG